ACTTGCACCCTCTGAAGCCACAGCCTGAGCTGTGCCTTGGCCCCTTTCAGTCATGACTGGAGTGGCCGGGATGCAGGGCTCCAGGTCCTTAGATTGCACCCAGCATGGGGACTCTGGGCCTGGCCCACGCAACCATTTTATCCTCCTAGGATTCTGGGCCTGTGATGAGAGGGGCTGCCATGAAGACCTCTGACATACCCTGGAGACATTTTCCCCATTGTTTTGGGATTAACATTCAGCTCCTCATTACTTAAGTAAATTTCTGCAGCAGGCTTGAATTTCTCCTCAGAAAATGTGATTTTCTTTTCTATTGTATTGCCAGGCTGCAAATTTTCCAAACTTTTATGCTCTGCTTCCCTTATAACACTTAATGCCTTTAACAGCACCCAGGTCACCTCTTGAATGCTCTGCTGCTTAGAGATTGCTTCCGCTGGATACCCTAAATCATCTCTTTCAAGTTCAAAGTTCCACAAATCTCTAGGGCAGGGACAGAATGCCAGCACTCCCTTTGCTAAAACATAACAAGAACCACCTTTGCTCTAGTTACCAACAAGTTCCTCATCTCTATCTGAGACCATCTCAGCCTGGGCCTTATTATTCATATCATTATCAGCATTTTAGTCAAAGCCATTCAAGTCTCTAGGGAGTTCCAGACTTTCCCACATTTTTCTGACTTCTTCTGAGCCCTCCAAATTGCTCCAACCTTTGCCTGTTACCCAGTTCCAAAGTCACTTCCACATTTTCAGATACCTTTTCAGCAACGTGCCACTCTTCTGGTACCAGTTTACTGTATTAGTCTGTTTTCATGCTGCTGATAATGACATACCTGAGACTGGGCAATTTACAAAGGAAAGAGGTTTAATTGGACTTACAGTTCCACGTGGCTGAGGAAGCCTCACAATCATGGTGGAAGGCAAGGAGGAACAAGTCACATCTTACATGGATGGTAGCAGGCAAAAAAAGAGGTTGTGCAGGGAGACTCCTGTTTTTAAAACCATCAGATCTCATGACACTTAAATCACCGTCATGAGAACAGCATGGGAAAGACCTACCTTCATGATTCAGTTACCTCCCACCTGCTCCCTCCCACAATATGTGGGAAGTCAAGTTGAGATTTGGGTGGGGATATAGCCCAAGCATATCAGCCATCTTCCTTTGGTGTCTTCATGTAGTGTTCCCTTTGTGCATATCTCTCGTAAATCTCCTCTTGCATAGATACTCCTGGATTAGAGTCTACCTATATAACCTCATTTCACCTTAATTATCTACTTAAAAGGCCCTATTTCTGAATACAGTCACATTCTGAAGTACTGAGTATCAGAAGGTCAACATATGAATTTGGGGACACACTAAGTCAGCCCATGATAGGTGACAGACTGAGAACCTGGCATAATGATCTTTTCCAAGGTTCTGTGCTTCTCTGGAGAGGATACATGAGTGACAATTCTGTTGAGTCATAGAGCTGGAAAAAATTTAGATGAAGAATACTTACTCTGATTTCTGAAGTCACCACACTTCTGCTTTCTTAGCAGCACTTACTAGTACTTAGTCTAATTTTTCTCTTTATATTCTTAGGCTGTGTGGATGAGTCTAACCATTGAGCACTTACTTTTTCTCGCCTTTGAATATCCAGTCCTTAGCACATAGTATGTGTCAGTAAATAATATTTGAATTGAATACAGGTGATTCGTCTGCCTCTGGACATTGTCACAATTTCCTCCACCACAAAAGGAAATGAATTTGTCTTTTCCATAGTCATCTACCAAGACTGAAGGCATATTTTTTTGCCTTGGGTGGTTTGGACTGAATTCTGTCTGATGTCTAAATTTGACTACAGCGATATATTTATTTATAAACCATCTTTATTAAAGAATGTTATTGCCACCGTTTCCTTAGTTGCCAGTTATTTTGTGCATTGTTATTGCTCCTCAGATTTTCTTATTTTGGGGGAGACTTAGGCGTAATTTCCTTAGATGTAGATCAAAGCTGAATTGGATAACTAAAATATGTTGCAATTTATATTATAGAAAAATGGTAAAAATATTCAGCACATATTTTTTATATTTCTATTTCAGAATTAATATTTCAGCTTTTTTTTTTTTTTTTTTTTTTGAGTTGAAGTTGGAGTCTCCCTCTGTCGCCCAGGCTGGAGTGCAGTGACGCAATGTCAGCTCACTGCAACCTCCGCCTCCCAGGTTCAAGGAATTCCCCTGCCTCAGCCTCTTGAGTAGCTGATATTACAGGCCCATGCCACCACACCTGGCTAATTTTTTGTATTTTTAGTAGAATGGGGTTTCACCATGTTGGCCAGACTGGTCTTGAACTCCTGACCTCAGACAGTTCACCCACCTCGGCCTCCCAAACTTCTGGGATTACAGACGTGAGCCACTGAGCCCGGCCAATATTTCACTTTTTTAAAATAAATCTTTTTAATGGTAAGACAGGCTTGGGTTTGTCAAGAACAGGTTTCTAAAAGGGTTTCGTTATGCATGCACATGTAAATAAAAACCTTTTACAAATCCCACAGAATAAGATACTTTAAAATGGAGCTGTCAAGCAATTTTTATATGTGTAGTCAATTTGTGGTTTCAAAAAGCTACTTCAAAAAAAACTTCAAAAAGTTAGTGCTTTTTGATAAATTTGTTTTCAAACCACTTTGTTAACAGGTCTAAAGTTATATGATAAAATGATCAAATAAATTCTTTTCATTATAAAGAATCTTGTTTAAAAGTCCAGAGCGTTCCTCTTAATATTTAGTGAGAGCCCTGTTCTTGTTGTACTTCATCAGTTGTCTATTGGCTGGTTGACTATTGGATGTTTTACACTGAATGAAAGAATTAAGATTGTAAACCTCTAGAAAACAAGGACTTCTGTGGTCCTTCCAGGATTGAATGAAGGTTCCATGAAAGAGAAACATCTAGAATACACCTTTCTTTTTTCTTAATAGCTAGTAGAGGGTGAGGAGGGAAAGAAGACACTGTAGGATAATGCATGTTTATGTCAGATGGTAGGAAAAATTCATGATGTATTTATACTGCGTGTGCTACCAAACAGCATACAGCTACACATTTTAGACAAAATAAAAGAAGTTTTGATGATAATTATCAATACATGCATGAGAATTTCCAATGTCATGGTTTAAGCACCCACTTCACATACACTTGTAAATTAGCTTCCGTGCATTCATAAATGGGGTTAGTGTGATTAGCTTGCCAAGGCCCAGAAGAGATTATATTTATTAAAGATCACATGAAAAGTTGTGTCCTAGGCATCTGACTAGGAATTTTAATTTTAAATGGGTAATATTGTCTTATTAATGAACTATTAACACAGTAGAAACATTTATTTTGATAGATTTATTAATGAATGTAAAGATTCTTGTTTTTTTAATATAAGGATTAATGACCATTCATTCAAACTAAACCTATTATGTACACTGAAATATAATATAAACATTGATAGGCTTGCCAATCTGACTTAAGCACTACTTTTAAAATATGAAGCTAAGTATAGTTTTTTTGTTGTTGTTAATATGTTTTAGACATGTTAAGTCATTTTATTTTGGCCTATAATCAACCTCCTGAGGTATAATGAGAAATCCATTTCAATATAGAAAGTCAGTTTTATGAGGTTTTTAGATTTTGTTTTTTTTTTTTTTTTTTAAACAAAACTTCCTGTCAGAGTGTGTGCCTGATTGTCTCACATATTTGATTAGATCAGCTGGCATGGCTCCTTGGCAGCCTGGCCCTCGCTGCCAGTTTACTCTGTGTCCCCTTCCTTGCAGGGCCCTGACCCAGAGGCCATCTCTCAGCTGTCCCAGCCCTGCCGATTCTTTGAGGTCCCTGAAGCCTTTCCTGATTCTCCCATCTCATGTTATCATTCTTTATACCCTATAGCTTTACCTTTTGATCATAGTATCTGTTGTGTTAGTTATTCCTTTCGTTGTGTCTCACAAAAGTTGTTGGCTCATAGGAGCTGGTAGAGTGATGCCGGCCACAGAGGCAATAAATATTGGCATTGTGCTGTCTTCATTGCTTTTCTTGGATGAATTAAAAAACATTCAGAGGAGCTGGGCACAGTGGTGCATGCCTGTAGTCCCAGCTACTTTGGAGGCTGAGGCAGGAAGGTGACTTGAGGCCAGTTCAAGGCTGTAGTGTATGATGATCACACCTGTGTGTAGCCACTGCACTTCAACCTGGGCAACACAGTGAAATTTCATCTCTAAAAAAAATAATAAAGGGAACAAAGAATTGGAAAAAGAATGCATAGAGTGTGGATTGGCTTGCTTTACTCATAACAGGTTGCTTTTCCAAGCATCTTCTTTCACAATGCTCATTACCAGGACATCTTGGGGGCAAAAGTGTCCATATTGATTTGGGGTTACTTATGTTTTTCTTTGGTCAGAATCCCTCGTTTCATCCATGTCCTCAGTCCTAGATTAAGTAATCTTTTTGTGCACATTTATAGCTTCTGACGTTAATGCCTCCATTGTTTCCTAAAGTCCCGATGATGATGGAACTGTGCATATTAAAGCAGGAATGGGGCAGAATGTTGTCAGGCATATCTAAAAGCCTACCCCTGGAAAAGTACTTATGTGGCACAGAAAGCCTCTTTCTGGAAAACCACTGAACTGATAGTTAAATTCAAAAGTCACTCTTAAAATCAGTTTAAGCACACATTAAATTCACTTGTCTTGGATGAAGCCAGTGAACATGTTAAGGCAAAACAAGATTTATTATCAAATACTGGTCTCTCCAAAAAGTTACATGGGATCAGAATCAGATGTTGATGAATAATTTGTTTTTGTACGTTTTAATAGTTACATGTTCTTACTTCTAGAGCTCATTTAACTGGTTGAACTAGAGAACCAGAATACAACATGATTTGTGTTTTTCTGTGGTGGAAGAGAAAAGTAAAATTAAAGTGGAAGCTATTAATACTATCTATATTCACAGGCTGCTAATATGTACTGCGTTCTTTCCTTTTGTGTTTTTCTTCAGGTGATTGAAGACAGTACTGGAGTCCGCCGGGTGGTGGTCACACCCCAGTCTCCTGAGTGTTATCCCCCAAGCTACCCCTCAGCCATGTCTCCAACCCATCATCTCCCTCCCTATCTGACTCACCATCCACATTTTATTCATAACTCACACACGGCTTACTACCCACCTGTTACCGGACCTGGAGATATGCCACCTCAGTTTTTTCCTCAGCATCATCTTCCCCACACAATATATGGTGAGCAAGGTAAGTAGATTCTTGTTGGCGTCAGGAGCCGTTGAAACTGGCTACAGCATTTCAATAGTTCAAGGCAGCCCTTTGTTTCTTGTGAAATAAGCAGAGTAGAAAAGGATCTAGGTGGTTTGTAAGACTCATGAGGAATTCCTAGCTTCCTTTGTCCTGCATGGTGCCTTGGAAAAATTACTTTGTGGGTTTAGTTCTTTTACTTTCTTTCAGTTTTCCCAAACTCGGCCCCAACCCCCACCTTACAAGATCAAGGAGTAAGGTAGCCACCTTTTATTTTAGAAAAGTGGCAATGTGACATCGTTCCCATGTCCTGAAAGCATGTTTTTATGTGAGAGTGGCCTGAGGTACAACTGTGGCACATCGTTGCTTCGGTATCCATATGATCTACCAGTTAAAGGGAAATTGAAAGGTGTTTTGTGCCCCATTTCCAATGTTTGAAGATCGTGAAGTCTCAGCAACCTTTGGGTTTCCTGAAAGGCTCTATGTTGTGATGTTGGCAGAACTAAAAATCCCCTGGCTGTTGATGTGGCCTTCCTGAACCTGCTTTTAGTTTAAGACTAGCCATTAGTGCAGCCACAATTTCACTGGTTGTTAGGCAAATACTTACCTGGATATGAAAAGAGTCTCAGAACTACCAACATTATATCTTTTTAAAGTTTTGACCTTGGTGTTGGTTTAGTCTAAAGGCTTTCTCTATCAAAATGGATCCTGAGAAACCAGATAATTGAAGGTAAAATTAGACTTTAGCCTCTAGGACTTTACAAAGTGATTTTCTTCTGAGTCTGACTATGAAGGGAAGCATTTTACTGCTTCAGACATTTATTATGTTGGTTTAGATACATTGTAGAAGAAATGCCTGTTATACCATAGAATGTTTGAGCAAGTTATTACTTTTAACAGTTATATATATATATAATTATATAATTTCTATATAATTAATTATAATTTATAATTATATATATTTTTATATATAATTTTTCCCTGTTCATCTCACATTATAACTTCGTCACAGAAAAAGCTTTTTTGAGATTTTTTGAGATGGTATTTCAAGTGAAATATACTGTTGTAACTTAGGGATAGAATTTGACTGTGTGTGTGTTTTGTTTGTTTTTTAAGTAGTCAAAGAAATTTGACATAATTCAAATTAATCAGGTGCTTTCACAGTGGGGTATAAGGGGATGATAGCAAAACATGAAATCAATACTTTGATTTTATAGCAGCATCAATAACTTCCTATTAATTTGATCTTTTTTCCATGCAACATAACACCAAGAAAACATTAAGTAGTGGGGATATACTCTGAAAATATGAAAACATTTGGATAAAAACTGAAAAAATTTAGTTAGCTGTAATTTTCTTAAATGTATTCAGTGCTTTGACACAATATGCATTAAATAACTGAGTGTTTCTCAGAGCTTTCTGGCTGGATCTGAGCTCTGATGACATGAAAGTCCTTGGTGACTGACTCACTGCCTGCTGGTGTATATCTGACTTGCTTTATTTTAGCAGTCTGTTAGTAGGATGCCACATAGTTACTGTTTTGTAAATGCTGTCCTTTGCAATTTTAGGCAAGACAACGGTATAATTTAAATCATTAGAGTTAAGCACAATTGTAGTCTCTTCATTTTGTGGTGTATTTGGGTCTAATTCCATTAAAATAACACAGAGCAATAATGTATACAAATAAAAATGCCTTCATTGATTTCACATTAAAGCAGTAAACCAAAATCCCTTCGCTTTATAGATAAGCCATTTTTATATTCTTTAACCTTAGTTCTTTAGTGTGCATACCTAAAAGCAGTTTAAATATTAATTTTCTAAACTATAAGTGTTTAAAAGTTTTCACCATGTCTGAAGAGGTGATTAGTGCCTGCGGTGAATATGTTAAATCTCATGTGTAATGCATCGTGGCATTTAGAACATTTACTGTCCTTCTGGTATATTTTGACATTGTTTATTTGGATACATACTGTCTGAATAGGATTATATTTGTTTTGACACATTCTCTAGTGCAAACTGGTTCTCTCATGAAGATTTGATTTTTCACAAAACAACTCGTTAAAAAACAAATCTTCCTTTAGCTATGTTAACAGTAAGAAACAGTGGAGCTTTACCGTTGAGTAATTGAGACAGCAGTTTTGTTAAATTATGCAGGGTAACCATACATTTCTGTTGTGCCTGTGACAGTCCTAGTTTAGGTCTCTTGCCTTGAAGAAATTGTTGATATTCCTCCCTTTTCACTGTCAGAAGTGTTCAGATTTGGATGGTAATTTATATTGTCACTCCATAGATGAGGTGACCCTTGTTTCTTATGAAGATGTAAGGACCCAATCTTTATGTCTTTATTGTCATTTTTACTGATACCTAAAATAATTGTGAACTGATTTAAAAATTTAAATTTAACATGAAGTTTTCCCCTTGAGGTCATAAGATTGTTTGCAGGCTTCTGTTTTCTTTTGAGCCACTTTAAAACGTGTGTAGTAAAGTCACGTGGCATTCTACATTTGTCTTGCCTTCGATTACTCCAAAAGAGAAGTTTGAGACCACAGCTTATTACGTTTGGCACCAGATTTCAGAGATAGCTTTTCTTAACCCTTATACTTCCTCCTTGAACATTTCCCCCGATTCTGTGAGCTTTGATTATTTTAAATGGAAATGTGTCATCTCATTATCTTAGTTAAATTTGTTCAAATGTTGGCTCTTTTGAATGCCACAAATAACTTAAACTTTGACTGCAATATACTTTCCAGTAGAAATACTATTCTGTCTACAGGGATAAGTAGACTTTTAAAGTAGCTTGATTCTAAGTACATGTTTAATGGGGGTATTTTATTTGTTCTAACTTTTTCATGTATTGCAACTACTGAAAACATAATGAAAGGCAAAAATCAAAGTCAGTTATAAATTCAACTAGAATATGAACTCTTTAGGGATAACAACCTTGTCTTCAGTATTCTCTGTAATATAGGAAATTTTCTGAACGTACAGTATAGTTTTTAATGATTGATTATGCCTTGATTGATTAGAAACAAATGGGAATGCCTTAAATGTATATCATGTATATGGCATTTTCTTTTTTCTTTTTCTTTTTGAGGCAGAGTCTTGCTCTGTCGCCCAGGCTGGAGTGCAGTGGTGCAATCTCACTTCACTGCAATCTCCGCGTCCCAGGTTCAAGCGATTCTCCTGCCTCAGCCTCCTGAGTAGCTGGGATTATAGGTGCGCACCACCACGCCTGGCTAATGTTTTGTATTTTTAGTAGAGATGGGGTTTCACCATGTTGCCCAGGCTAGTTTCAAACTCCCAAGCTCAGACACTCTGCCCACCTCGGCCTCCCAAAGTGCTTACAGGCATGAGCCACCACGCCCGGCAGTATTTTCTTAAGAAATATTTATTATACTCTGTTTAGTAATATTTTAGACTTCTTTTATACTTTAGACTTCTTCAGGAGCCAGATCGTTTGACCATTTAATAATTTATTACTGAAAATGTAAACTGAGTTTGGGTTTATCATAATCATCCATTTTAGAAATTATACCACTTTATGGAATGTCAAGCTACATCACCCGAGAAGACCAGTACAGCAAGCCTCCGCACAAAAAACTGAAAGACCGCCAGATCGATCGCCAGAACCGCCTCAACAGCCCTCCTTCTTCTATCTACAAAAGCAGCTGCACAACAGTATACAATGGCTACGGGAAGGGCCACAGCGGTGGAAGTGGTGGAGGCGGTAGCGGTGGTGGTCCCGGAATTAAGAAAGCAGAGCGACGAGCAAGAAGCAGCCCAAAGTCGAATGATTCAGACTTGCAAGGTAATATTCAAGATGTTTGCCATAGAGTGAATTATCAAGACAGAGACATCTCAAATAATGTTTCCACGTCTTTTACATGAGAATATTATTTCATGGTGCTTGGTTGTTCTGCTAAGAATATTTGAGTAGACCTTCTTTGATCTATTTCTTAGTAAGGAAAGAATATTGCATTGTTTATTTTTTATTAATACTTCACGGCAGAAATACTACGTTTTGGTCACATATGCCATGTAGCTTTCTACTTAGTAACAAGTATGTGAAAATCTTTTCATGTTAGCCTACTTCTGTTGTTTCACTCTCTGAATAGACAGCTGTGGAAGAAATCCAAAGATAATTTTTCTAAAAGTGTAGGCTAGTTTAAATCTCAAAATAATTATACCTCATAAACCATATGTAATTACTTCCTTACTGTAATGAAATCTGTCATTGAATCACAGAAATATGTTTCTCTTTAGTTTTCGCATCAGTTACTGTCTCATACCACCTTTTGCCTGTGAATTAAGTGTTTGGAAACCAAGAATGAGATGGAAGAATGAGGGTCACCACATATAGCTAGAGAAACATCAACTCAGAATGGCACGTGTTTTTTTGTAGATGAATCTCTTGGGTATAGATCAGTTGATTTGGAGGAAGGTTTTTGTGTTTAAATGAAGTTTTGGGGGTAGTTTAGAGAGAACCTATTTTGATGCCACATAAGGAAAAACAGTGACTTTTTCTATAGGCATAGGGAAGAATGACTTAAGTGAGGCAAAAAAGGTAACATTTGGATAAGGTAGGTGAGTTTATAGATAGAAATGACTGGAAAACAAAGATATGAACAACTTTTAAAGATAGGATCAATTATTCAAGTAGATTCCCTTTTTCATTCACAATCACATTCTCACAGACAGTCCCCATTTCTACCTGACTGAGATGCAATAAGGAATCTGATTATAACACTCATTGATTATAACACTCATTGAATTTATGGATTCCTTACTGCATCTCATTCAGGTAGAAACAGGGACTGTGTCTGTGAGAATGTGATTGTGACTGAAAAAGATGCAATTTGTGTATTTTTGAGTGTCTACGGAAGAGCTTCTGACAAGGGAGAGGAAGGTTAGGTAAAACGAAGTATTGCCATCAACATTTCCCCCTACGTTATTTGGGTGAGTGATTGCAGCATGAGAGAGAGGAATAGTAAGATAACAGTGAAATGTAAACAGATCATGTGTTCTTTTCATTTTAATTATTTATTCTTTTCTCTATTTTCCAAACTCTATGCAATTACCATGTTATTCTTATACTTTTTAAAACATAAATAATTATCATACAAAGGAAATTGAAGATTCAAGAGGCTTGTACATAGCTCTTAAGGGAAGATGCTGGGTCTCATCTAATAATTTTTAGTCAAATGATACTGTAATTTCTAAGCTTGAAATTAGTTTATTAGCAGTGTTGCAATTTAACCATGACTATACAAGAATTCATACCAAAAAAATTAAGAATAGATTTTCCTAAAGAGAATTTTAATCCAAAGAAAAGCGAGAGAGAATGTATAAATTGTCCAGAGAGCTTACGAGGTTTGAAGTACTTTGATTACTTGACTCATTCTTTAATAATTTTCACCTTGCTTTGCACCAAAACTGATTTAAGGCAAATGACATAGACACATAGAAGCAGATAACATAAATGTAAGCATTGAGGAGCCGAAAGATGATAAGGGAAGGAAAATACTAATAAGATGAAGCAGGGTTCCAGTAGAGTGGCTTGATATGGGCCATATATTTGGTTTTGAGCCTCCTGGTTGTCAAAGCAAAAAGGCAAATGTGAATCACATAGCATGAACAAAGAATAAAGCACTTCTTGTTCGTGGGGTCCATCAAGTGGCTCATAACGTTTCAGTTGTGTCTGCCTCAAAATGTGGTGGTTGGTTCCTAGGATCCCAAAAGGCTTTTTCCTGCTTTCTCATCCTTACAAGTGTGTCTCCTGCTGGAGGTTACTGCACCTGACATCTAAATCTGTACCCCAGAAACAGACTTCTTAACTGATTCTTAGGTTTATAGTGCCACCTAATTAATCTAAAACTATGCTTAATACCAGTATGATAAACCTGATAGGTTCATATGTGGTTTGCACAAGAATAGAATATATACTTAACCATAACATGTGACTTGTGGGTTTTTTTTTTTTTTTTTTTAATGTTTTACTTAGGTTAAATTGCCCTCATGGCCAGAAGAGAAATCTTTTTACTTTTTTTTTGAGATGGAGTCTCGCCCTGTCTCGTGGGCTGGAGTGCAATGGTGCGATCTCAGCTCACTGCAGCCTCCGCCTCCCAGGTTCAAGCCATTCTCCTGCCTCAGCCTCCTAAGTAACTGGGATTACAGGCATGTGCCACCACACCCTGCTAATTTTTTTATTTTTGGTAGAGATGGGGTTTTGCCATGTTGTCCAGGCTGGTCTCAAACTCTCGACCTCAGGTGATCTGCCCACCTCGGCTTCCTTTTTACATTATAATTCCTTAGCCTTTGAGTTAATTTACTTGAATAATTTACCTTTTTACCACTTACAAAAAACAAATCTTTAAAAAAAGACAAACTTTAAGTTTGTGCCTGGTCCTGTGGTAAAACTAAGCACATGTAAAAGAAGCAAACAACTCATGTTAATATAAATACATGTATGAAAAAGATGGAGATACCTTAATTTCTCTCTTGAGGTCTAGTTCTCTCAGTTAACTGTGCTTCAGAAACTTGAAAACAATAGAGATTCGTGGACCCCATTTTAGACCTAGTAAATCAGAATCTTCACACCACTTTTGACTTCATGTTTTTTTTTGTTTTGTTTTTTAAATAAAACCTCCATTGGGGATGATGTATGATCAGCCAAGATAGAAAATTATACTATCATAATAATAAGGATGGTTCATCAAGTTGTACACAGTATGGAATAGGAACTTTGTGTTTTATTCATCAATCTCTCCCTCCTTCTAGTACTATACCTGACACATAGTAGGTACTCAGTAAATAGTGTTAAGTGAGTCCTGTTTTCTTAATTGCCTTGTTTTCCAGAGCAAGCCTTCTTTTTGAACACACAAAGCTATTGTACCATTTCCTTTTCCTGGAACAAATTGTTGCATTGCTCAAGGAAACTGCTCCGTGGCTAGCCTCCCCTTTCATTTACTATTACCTTCAGGAAAACAGGCACAACAGACTCCCATAGTACACTCTGAGAAATATGGGATCTCTGAGTTCTTGCACTTCCTTGGAGCAAATGGTGTGGTGTGAGCCGAGAACAGTTGGGGCTTTGGTATTAGACATACGGTACTTGGCTTAGAACTGGGCTTTGTTACTTACTTTTTCCTTTTAGTTTTTCCTGAATTTCCATGTTCACATTTGTAAAATGGGCACTTAAATTTCCATTATTAAATATTAAAAATACCCTTGCTCAGTTCTTAACACTTTAATATAATGGGAACCCTTATGACTTGAATATTGTCTCTCTCATCTTCAGGACTCCTGTTATTATAGGATCATGTCTCATCTGAGATAGCTGCCCCTCAAAATAGGCATCTCTCTCTACTCTCCATCTGGCGGCTTTTCCCCTTCCCTTCATGCTCCATTCCCCTCACCCCAGCCCCCTACATTTCTTCTCCTTTAAGCCAGAAGTGGCTTTCTTTGCTTAAACCCATCTTACATTTTTGAAAGCTAAACCCTGCATTACTGGCCCACTATCTCTGAAAGTTGCTTCCAGGCTCCTCTTCTTTTTTTTTTTGAGACGGAGATGGAGTTTCACTCTTGTTGCCCAGGCTGGAGTACAATGGCGTGACCTCAGCTCAGTGCAACCTCCACCTCCCAGGTTCAAGCAATTTTCCTGCCTCAGCCTCCTCAGTAGCTGATATTACAGGCGCACACCACCATGCTTGGCTAATTTCTGCATTTTTAGTAGAGACAGGGTTTCACCATGTTGGCCAGGCTGGTCTTGAACTCCTGACCTCAGGTGATCCACCCGCCTTGGCCTCCCAAAGTGCTGGGATTACAGTCGTGAGCCATTGCGCCTGGCCAATTTTTTTGTATTCTTAGTAGAGGCGGGATTTTGCCATGTTGGCCAGACTGGTCTTGACTCCTGGTCTCCAACTCCTGGCCTCAGCCTCCCAAAGTGCTGGGATTACAGGCGTGAGCCACTGCGCCTGGCCACTTCCAGGCTCTTTTAAGAGAGGTTGCCACTGTGTAGAAACATACCCAATATCCTGGGGTCCTCTCTGGTGGAATTGGTACCGGATCTCATACATCTTCTCGTCACCTCGTCCTAGGGCACTTCCAGCTCCAAGCGAGAAAGAACTCTGGTACACAGCCTCTTGGGACTTCCTTTCTCATGGTCTCTGGTATCTCCTCATATGTTTTTTATTTTTCTCTTTGCTCCCTCTGAACCTTAAGAGACCTCCCAGAAGGGCCACCTTATGGTTTAAGATGTGTGATTATTAATTTTCCTCTCCAGTGCATCCTCTGTTGTGGCTACAGTTAAATAGATCTCAACATTTTAATCCCTTCGTGAGAACCTCTGTGGTGCCCCCCACTATCTAGAGAATAAAGTCTAAACTGCATGATATGACACAAACTAACTTCTTGTGGCCCTTCAGATTTCCCCACCAGACATGCTCGCTGTGTTCTGCCCCGTTTTGTGAATATGCCTCATTCCCTTTTCTTGGCCTGTCCTTCCAGTTCCTCTGCCTAGCAAACTCCAACTCAGGCCTTCAAGAGCCAGCTCAGTTATCACCTCCTCTATGAAGGCTGCCTGTCTCTCCAACATATTATGATGGCAGATAAGTTAGGGGAAAATATTTCAAGAGTTTTTGCCTTCCTTTTCTCTTCCTCTCCCAGCATTTCATTTTAGAACAGTGCTTGGGGATCAAGTCCACAGATGTTCAAGGATAGGAATGGAAAAATTTGTTCTTGTGTACAGAGTATTATGCAAGAGCTGGGCCTTGAGCCTGTTCTGTGGCCAAAACCAGTTAAAATAGTCAC